ACACACACACACACACACACACACACACACACACACACACACACACTCACACACACACACACACTCACACACACGCACAGAGACAGACACATATACACATATGCTTACACACACCACTAACACACACACAAACACACACGCTCGCGCAGTGGAATACTCACGTTAAACTAACTTTGACTTCGGAGTACGCATGGCCTAACAAACTAACAGATGTAAGTAAATGGACCATCAAAAGCCTTCATTACTTTATAAAACAGTCTTGGGTTGATGTCGGAAATTGTCTGTGTCACTTTTCTATGGGCAGGACTGAGGAGAAGACCGCAAAGACTGCCATAACACAGAGCACCCTTTTTTACTAATTGCTTCGGTAGCTTTTAATGACATTTACGCAGTGCTTCCAATTGAAAACTAAATGGCCTGTCCTAGTTTTAGTTCCGTGTGAGTGTACTGAAAACTCTCTTTTGTCAGCGTAGAAGTATATTTCTACATCGACACAATATACGTAATTTAGGAGGAGGGCCCCACCTGCCAGAAGCAACACAGGCTGAGAGAGATACACCATCCCAGCAGAACGACCTAGATACTCGAGAAAAATATTCTCCCAACTAGTGAATCGAACTCGGGTCTCCTGAGTGCGAGAGTGAAAGGCTAACCGTTGCACCACAGACACCAATGAAGCTCTTGTTTTGTTTGTGTTGTTTGTATTAATGATGCAGTGCTAGAATATATCAAGTCATGTGATTATTCAGTAAGCCAGAAGATAGAGCACTGGGTCCTGTTGATCACGGATTTCCCAGGCATAAATTGTTGAGAATTATGTAAATCTATCAAGGGACACACCCGTATTTACACCATAATCGTGTTCTACATCATACAAAAAAAACCCAACAGAAAAGCTTGCTCGGGCCGTATTGTCAAGTTCTTTCTTCGGATCGAAAGTGTGTCGAGGGGGATCATTTCCCTGCCATAATATTTCAAATTCATAAATATTTAGACGTTTTCCTTGTCCCTGCCCCCCCCCCCTCCCTCCTCAAACCTTTTTCCTCTCATACTCCTTTGTCTCTTTCATTTTTCTCTCTCACTTTTTTCTCTCATTCAATTCTTTATCTCTCTCTTTCTTTCTCTCTCTCTCTCCCTCTCTCTCTCTCTCTCTCTCTCTCTCTCTCTCTCTCTCTCTTTCTCTCTGTGTGTGCATGTGTGTGCGTTTGTTTGTATGTGTGTGTATATGTGTGTGTGAGAGAGAGAGAGAGAGTGTGTGTGTGTGTGTGTGTGTGTGTGTATGTGTGTG